GGGGTCTGAATGTGGGTTGTTTGTTTGATTCTGTTAATTTCTGTTGGTTCTGCTCTGGGGCTAACATCATGAAAAGAGCAAACATAGGCGCTCCCAGGGGGGGGGGGCACGGGGGCCATGGCCCCCCTTCGGTGCTGAAAGGTGGGGCCATACTATCTTTTGGCCACACCTTTTCAGATCGAACAAATGTCCTACAAAAACTTTTTGTGTGTTTCATTTTCTCGTTCATTAAAACCCGCGCCCTGCTGGGGGGGGGGGTGTTTGAACACCCCCCCTTGTGGTTTTTCGCGAATATCTCAAAAACGGCGGCGCGGAGCGCCGCCGTTTTTGGTACACCTTATCATACATCAATTCTACACATGTTGTGAAAATTTCAGACCAAGGTCATTCAAGGTCAGGTCACCAGGTCACTTGAAGTGACCTCACCTCATAAAAACTTTCAATGTCTGTCATAGCTACACCGAGTGACCGATCGCTTTGAAACTTTCAGCGATTGCTAAGAGCAATAGCATGTACAAAATGTATATCTCAGAATTTTTATATCGATGACCTAAGGTCAGGTCAATTTTGCGACCTCCCCATTATAAGTCAATGGGAGAAAATTGAAATGCGCCTCTTTTGGATGAAAGACATTATAAACACTCCCAAACACCGAATTACAAGTGGTTTAGACACACTGAACTTTAAAATGGTGTCCGTGACCCTTGTTTATGCCCTGAGGTCATCTTAGGTCACGAATGGTATCTAACAGTTTTTCGCAAATAACTTTTGATAGAGGCATGCTAGAGCGATGAAAACGCCTTAGATGTATTCAGCTCGACGATACGGATCGACTGGTATGCAACATGAACCTTTCCGGTCAGGTCATGACCTTGACCTGAGGTCAAATTTTCAAGTTGACCTTTAAAGGTCAAGTCATAGTTCATTCGATGCGTCTTGACGAGAGGAACACGATGCCGGTAAAAGTAAGCTCGTACAAGGCTTGGGTCAAAAGTTATTGCAGAAAAACTGTTTTCGAAAAATCGGCTATTTTTTGCAGTTTTTGCCCCCTGCAGGCAAAACCGTTGACGTTAGGTCAAATCTGAGAGAATTACTCAGAAAGGGCGTTAATAGGGCTATCGAATGCGCTTTTCCGCGGCGCTGTAGCTCTATTGGTTCCCGAGTTATGCGTTGGCTTCTTGGAAATTTTCGACATTCGACCTGGAAATCGGCGAAATTTTGCCTTCAATGACCTCTGGTGACCTGACCTTTGACCTGACCAAAAAATTGACCGAAGTGATTTCGTCATTATTTTTTACGCTCTTTCGAACGCCGCCTTCCGCGTATCGCTACGTGGCCCAGGAGCCGAGTTACAAGGGGGGGTGTTCAAACACCCCCCCCCCCAGCAGGGCGTGGAAATCCAGGACCCCCAGCAGGGCGCGGGTTAATGAAAGGTCTTCCTTGCGCCATCAAAGGAAGTAAATTTCACTCATAAGTTTCGCATTCTGTCAATTTGGCGGTCAGCGTCGCTGGCACCGGTTCACGAGTATGGCCGGATGTGAGATATACTCTAACTTATATGGAATATCTTATATCAGCGTGGGTTTACTGGAGGCTATCGTAGGCCCAGGCCCAGCATTGACTGGCATGAGACCCTCTTCGGCAGTGACGAGTGGGCCCTGCCAAATGAGCGTGGCTCTACGACACTAAAGTACGACCTCATGGGTCGGTGCTGTACAACTCATAAGCCTGTGGTGACCCCGTATGCCGGGCTGGTTCCTTAAGGATTAGCGTAAGACCTCAGGGGCCTGCGTAGATCTTGCATGAGCTAGTGTGATCTCAGAGGCCTGTGTAATGTGTACGCAGTGGCGGTTGCGGGGGGGGGGGAGCATCAGGGCCATGGCCCCCCAAAGGCAAATAAGGGGGTCATCATATCATTTGCCCCCCCCCCCCCCCAGTAACCGATGGACCCCCATGGGCGTATGGGGCCCTGGCTCTTATTCGGTTGTCTCGAGGCTCAAGAAACCCACGCCGAACTATTATTAGCTCACACATCGTTCTTTAAGTGTCCTACACTGACCTCTGAGGGCCCTTCAGTGGCGGTCAAGCGCCCACATTGACCGCTAAGAGCCCACATCGACCTCTGAGGGCCCTCCACTGGCCTTTTAGGGCCTCTGAACCGGCCTCAGCGGCCCCAACCGGCGTCTGAGGGTCTCACACCGGTCTCTGGTGGCCTTACTTGTGTCTCTGGGCCCTGTTGTCCCAAGCCAAGACTAACCTTTAGGTGCCAATGAGGGCCCGCACTCGTTCGTTCATTCGTTCGTTCATTGTATTCACGCCAAATCCGCTATTGCGGCTTTTCATCAACGCAACGTCAAACGTTAAAAAAGTTGACATAGCAAAACAGATACACACAATTCAAGCAAAAGCAGTAAGCACACACATGCATACAAGTCGATCATTCAGTTTGAATCACGCTCCAGCAAGTATAGCGTTTCACGGCGGTTTTGAATACTGGACGACCATTGTAACGATGCATGAATTCGTCGCACTCTGAGACACCGCTGTACAAAAGTTGTCGCCTGCCTGCCTCCGTTCGAATTCGTGGCAGCCCGAACCGATTCTCATTTCGCGTGTTGTGACCCTGGTCGGAGGCGCTGTCCAACTTGCTTGCCATAGCAGTCGGCTGTTGTGTCTCCACAATGCGGTGTAATGTATATTTTCTGAACACTGGCTGATGAAGACCCGATGCCGGCCTATAAGGGCCAACCTAGGCCTTTGAGGGCCCTCTGCTGGCCTCTGGGGTCCAATGCCGGCCGGTGCCGATCTTTTAGGGCCCCACGTTAACCTCTAAGGGTCCCATGCTGGCCTTTAACCCGCGCCCTGGTGGGGTCTGTTTATAACGCGACCTGGTGGGGGGGGGGGGCTATTTTTTGCCCCCCCCCTCGTATCTCCGAAACTACTGGACGGATCCGCAAAATTCAAACGGCGTTCGAAAGGCCTGTCAAATTTGTCAACGGAAACCAAATTTCATTGACCTCGGGGTCACCGATGACGTCACAGGTCAGGTCAAAAATGAAATGTTTCACCGTTCACGGGTGTTCTAGGGAATGCGCTATAACACCGAGGAAAACGCATTTTGTCGAGAATCAGCGATAAGGCGTCAGTTGCCTAGTAGATATGTTGCTATTAGAGGTCACTGACAATACCAGGTCACGTCACAGGTCAGGTCACCAAGGGTCACAGGTCAGGTCACATGAGCCCAAATCTACTAAGGTTGTGTGATGCATGTTTTATGGCCAATTTTTCATTTCCAACTCAATGGTGCTGGTTTTAAGACTATCAGGTACGGCTTAGGTCACATTCTGGTGAAGTTCAGGTCAAGGTCAGGTTAAGGTCAGGCCAAGAAAGGTCAAATTTTAAAGTTGATAGTTTTGCATAAAATGGGTATTGATTTGATGCAGCTCGTCACGGGGAGTCTAATGGTGGTCTTTGTTTTGCGCTACGGGGTCTAGAATTGCTAAAAATTGAGTTTGAAAATTTGACGTCATCAATTTTGAACAGTTTTTTCGCTATAACTTCGCCAAAAAAAGAGGTATCAATCTCAAATTTGGTATGTGGATGGAAGGCGGTAGGGACTATCACATGTATTCTGGTTTTTGCGAAATTCAAAAAAACTTTTTGGATTTTTCGATCATTATATCCAAAAAATTTATTTTTTGATTTTTGGGGGTCAAAATCCAAAAAATTCAAAAATCCGAGATAGCGGTTTTGTAGCCCTGTCAATTCTACAGCTTTTATGTCCTTATCATTTTTCTGTATTTGCAAAGCTATAGGCCTGACAGCTCTTCCCGCGAAACCCTTTTTTGGGTCGAAAACGGCAGAACATGACGTCACTCTGACGTCATTTCCGGCCAAACTATCATAGCCTTTGGAAAAATTTTTGGTCACCATGTGTAAAATTGATGTCCGGGAGGGTACTGAGAGTTTGGTGACGATCGGCGCAGCGGTTCTGGAGATATATCGAAAAGTCTGGAGGGGGGGCAAAAAATAGCCCCCCCCCCCACCAGGTCGCGGGTTAAGGACCCACATTAAACTCTGAGGACCGAACTCGGTCTCTGATGCTCTCAAACTGCTGGCCTTTGCAGGCCCTGTACTGGTCTCTGAGGGCCCTAAACTGGCCTCTAAGTGAAAACACAGGGGTGGGCTTCTGAAGTTCTGAGGACTCACGCAGACTCCTGAAGAGCATAACGTTGGTCACGCGCAGATTCCCTCATATTCCGGCGCCGGGCCCCATTGAGCCGGTGTGGGTCCTGGGGCTGACAGAGACCGATGAAGTCCCCAGGGTCCAGGGACAATATTTTTAGCAGTAGGACTAATCAGGTTGAGTGAGCCCCAAAAGAGCTGTTGCGAAGCCCCGCAGGAGTCTGCGCCGGCTCTTAGATGCCAATTTTGAAAGCCAAGAACCTGTGTGGGGTCTTCAGAGGTCGGTGTACCTACACTCTCCCGCCGCCAAACGACTATATGAGTAAATGTCATAGTCTGAAAATGCTCTCTGGGTTTCACATGCTTGTTCAAAGCAAGAGGTTTTTGTTATTTTCCGAATTGTTCTATAGTGGTAGGGTCATAAGTCCGCGTGCCCGACCTTCCGGTATATGCTGCACCGATCCGTCGCCATGGTGCAGCGGCCCGACCGGTGGGCACACCATGGGACGGTAAATGGGACTGGTGATTTGGCCACCGTGAGTTCAAAAATTTTACGCAAGAATGAGATGGATGCAGCATAAGTAATGCCAACTGCAGGGCGCTTCGTGGCGTAGATTTTGCTACACACGTGAAAACTTAGCCGATCACCCCCCCCCCCCCCCCCCCCCGGTTACGGATAAATGTTCTCTCCCGCGAGTGTGACTTTGCCCCCCCCCCCTTTTGCTAGCGGCTGCGACCGCCAGTGCCAACCCCTCATCCCCACAGAGGTGTGTGACATTCTGTGTCCTCTCCCTGACCCCACCAGCTGACCTCACCTCGTCTCCTCTGTCCGACCTGGCCTCTCCTCCGTCCGTACTCGGTACGCCTCTCCCAGACTGACACTCCACACGTGCAGCGGCCACTGGCAGTCCCTAAGGTCGACAGTCCACGGCCGTCTGCCGCCTCTGGTTCCGACAACCGACGATAGGTGGCAGCAGGTCCTGGGCTCAGTCTGCCGCCTCTGGTTCCGACAACCGACGATAGGTGGCAGCAGGTCCTGGGCTCAGTATGCCACCTTTGGTTCCAGCAACCGACGATAGGTGGCAGCAGGACCTGGGCTCAGTATGGGGGAGCATTCATTCTGGCCAGGGTTCATGATGTCCAGGGTCCGTTATGCCCAGTGTCGAAATGGCCAGTGCCTTAGCCCTATTCCTGGCGGGCTCCGCCGGGACAAGAAACTGGCGGGGGGGGCCGATTCGGCCCCCCCCCCCCCGAGATCTCGAGAACGAAGCAAGATAGCGACAAACGGTAAACGGCATCGGATACGCACGGTCAAGATCTACAATTTTTACAAAGGTCATTTTCAGGTCAGGTCAAAAATGACGTCACAGGGGTCGAAAAAGTCAAAATGGCGGCGCTAGATATGGAGAGAGTTTTTCTCGAATAACTTTCGAATTAGTCAAGATAGGAACAAACTAAGGGCATCATCGTGATCCTCTCGTCAATCCGCATCGAATGATATATATGTTGACCTCGCAAGGTCAAGGTCAAAGGTTGACCTCAGGTCACGTGACCTCGAGGTCATCATGTATATCATTCGATGCGTCTTGACGAGCTGAACACAATGAGACCATCAACGCGTCTGTATCTTGTTCCTGTACGGAGTTATTGGCCAAAAACCTTTGGTGACCTTTGATGACGTCACATGACCTCACAGCTGCCCAACAGCAAAACAGACCTCAAGGTAGTGAAGGTTGATCGTATATGAAGTCATGTATGGTATATGGGGCCATTCCGACCCGTTTTAGTGGTAAAAACAGGGAGTTGATTTTTCCCCCATTGACTTATAATGGGGAGGTCGCGAAACTGACCTGACCTTAGGTCACCGATATCAAAATTCCGAGATATACAAATTGCACATACTGGTACCCTAACTAAAGCCTGAAGAGAAGACATTGATCGGTCAAAAACTCTAGCTCTGGCGTGATTGCAAACTTTTCTGAGGTAGGGTCACCAAACCGCCTCTGGTGACCTGACCTGAGGTCAGATCAACTCAAAATTTTCAGACATGTTGCGTAGAAGCCTTTTAGGAAAAGTCAGAAAATTTGAGCTTCCTAGCTCAACGCGTTTGGGAGAAATAACCAAAAAACCTCAGGGGGGGGGGCTCCTGAGGCCCCCCCGCCAGGAATAGGGTTAAATGGGCCAGAGTTCATAATGTCCAGGGATTGCATGGTCCAAATGCGGCCAACTGGCCGCAGATAGGGTATATTCAAAGAGGCCAGGGTTCATAATGTCCAGGGCACGATGTGTCCAGTGTTCCAAATGGCCAGGGTTCATAATGTCCAGGGCACGATGTGTCCAGTGTTCAAAATGACCAGAGTTCATAATGTCCAGGGCACGATGTGTCCAGTGTTCAAAATGGCCAGTGCCTTGAATAGGCCAGAGTTCATAGTGTCCAGGGATTACATAGTCACTGAAAGTGACGTCATTATGTAAAAAACACGGAACCAGCTCAATGCGAAGCAGTGCAGTGCCGAAGGCAATGCCTTAGGAGAGATTACAGTAGTGGTGTCAATCGGTTACCGAAAAATTCGGTTACCGAAAAGATGTGCTGACCGATTCGGTAATCGGTCGGTCAGGCCCCCCAAAAATCGGAAATTTTCGGTCACCCTGTCAGTGAAACCATTTTCAAAATAAGAAAGCATTCCATTTTTACCAAGTTAAATGCAATGTACCCTTAGCCAATGTACCCTGCAATCTACCCTTAGCATAGGTGTAGGAACGTTTTCGAAAGTGGGGGGGCCAGGCTCCCAGAGGCACAAAACCTCACCTACCCCCAAAATCCATTTTCTCCTCGGATTTCGGCCACTTTATTTTCGCAGCATGCTCAAATTGGTTAAAAAACGTGACCAGAAAAAAAAAATCGACCAAAATCTCGGGGAGACTCCCGTCCAGAAATTAAATCTCATGGACGCGTCCCCCTGGCCTCCGTAGCCGCGTTGGCACCAGGAGCGGATCCAGGAAAACTCCAAGGGGAGGGTCATGAATCGAAGTAGTGCCCCTACCTGTACCCAAAATTAAAACCTCAACTGATTTCGGCCACTTAATTTTTGTGGTGCCCTATTTTCATTTTTTTATTTATTTGTTTTTGCCCTGGCAGGCCTGTGGTGCCCCTGGCGGGCCTGTGGTGCCCCTGCTAGGCCGCAGGTGCCCCTGACAGGTTTGTGGTGCCCCTGGAAGGACTGTGGTGCTCCTTACACGAGCCTGAAGTACCAGCGACAGGCCCATGGTGCCTCTGCGAGGCCGGTGGTGCCCCTGCGAGGCCGGTGGTGCCCCTGCGAGGCCGTGGTGTCCCTGCTAGGCCGCTGGTGCCCCTGGGCCCTGACAGGACTGTGGTGCTCCTGACAAGCCTGAAGTGTCCCAGACAGGCACGTGATGCCCCTGACAGTCCCAAGGTGCCCCTGCGAGGCCAGTGGGTGCCCCTGGCAAGCCTGTGATGCCCCTGGCAGGTCTGTGGTGTCCCTGGCAGACCTGCGGTGCCCCTGCTAGGCTTCTGGTGCCCCTGACAGGCCTGTGGTGCTCCTGAAAGGAATAGAGTGCTCCTGGGCCCTGACAAGCCTGAGGTGCCCTGACAGGTCCGTGGTGCCCTTGACAGGCCCAAGGTGTCCCTGCGAGGCCGGTGGTGCCCCTGCGAGGCCGGTGGTGCCCCTGGAAGGGCCTTTGGTGCCCCTGGAAGACCTGTGGTGCCCCTGACAGGTCTGTGGTGCCCCTGGCAGACCAGTGGTGCTCTTGCTAGGCCGATGGTGCTCCTGTCAGGTCTGTGGTGCTCCTGTCAGGTCTGTGGTGCCCCTGTCAGGTCTGTGGTGCCCCTGTCAGGTCTGTGGTGCCCCTGGTAGGCCTGTGGTGCCCCCGGGCCCCAAGGGGGCATGACCCATGTGACCCCACCTTGGATCCGCTACTGGTTGGCACCCATGCGAATTCCAGATGCATCCAAAAACATTTTTTATTACGAGCGAGCGTGAAACGTGAGAAGTGAAAAGCCAGCAAAAGGTGTGTGTGTGGGGGGGGGGGGCACTTAACATTGCTGGCCCCCATTCGAAAGTGGGGGACCATTGCCCCCTGCCCCCTGTTCCTACGCCTATGCCAGTAACCGATCAACTAATGCAAGGCCGCCTAGCATAAATTGTTAGTTTACGCCGTTTACGCATTCTGCTGCGCCAGTACTGTCTCTCTTTGCAGCGCGCGCTGCCCCTAAGTTGCCACTTATTGCTTCTGACAAAGTTACCTTTAATTGGGTGGAGGAAAATTGCACTCAATAACGATGAAGCACAAATGGAAATCTTCATGGAAGGGCAGGCCAGAGAACCGTCAAGTTTGTTCTTCGGGGTGATACCTACAAATACATTAAAAAGTTCAGCAAAAAGTGGGGGGGGCAGTTAACATTACTGGCCCCCCACTATGAAAAGTGGGGGGCCACCGGCCCCCCGTCCCTCCCTGTTCCTACACCTATGACCCTTAGCAATGTAACTTCTACCACAAAATGTATTTTGCAGTGGCTAAGAATTGACTGAACTTGGACTGAAATGCTATTTCCCATTATTTTGAAACAGAATTTACCAAATAATTTAATTTGGGGGGTAGAATAATAGCAACTCTAGAATTTCGGTCAAATTTCGGTCAATTTTTGGCTTGGGATGTTATCGGTCGGTATTCGGTCGGAAATGTTTCCCAAATTTCGGTTTCGGTCGGTATCGGTCAGCCACTTTTTGGAAAATGACACCACTAATTTGGACCATGTAATCCCTGGACAATATGAACACTGGCCAATTCAAGGCACTGGCCATTTCGAGCACCGGACACATCATGCCCTGGACATTATGAACCCTGGCCTAAATAATACGCACCCTCAGTATGTCACCTTTGGTTCCAACAACCGACGATAGGTGGCAGCGACCTCGGCATTCTGCCGACTCTGGTTCCAACAACCGCCGATAGGTGGCAGCAGGTCCGCGGCTGTCTGCCGCCTCTGGTTCCGACAATCACCGATAGGTGGCAGCAGGTCCACGGCTGGCCCACGGCTGCCTGCCGCCTCTGGTTCCGACAACTGACGATAGGTGGCAGCAGGTCCGCCGCTCAGTCTGCCGCCTCTGGTTCCGACAACCGACGATAGGTGGCAGCAGGACCTCGGCATTCTGCCGACTCTGGTTCCGACAATCACCGATAGGCGGCAGCAGGTTCTGGGCTCAGTCTGCCGCCTTTGGTTCCGACAACGGGCGGTAGGTGGCACTAGTGACGTGACAGGGCAGTGAAGAGAGATGTCAATCTGATACTCAACTTTTTGGTAAACCGGTACCAAACCAAATCGATACCAACTTGGTATTTGGTATTTTCATCTTAACATTTTTGGTATTTTGTTGGTATTATGAAACCTCACTAATTAATAAGAGGTTGAGAAATTGGTAAAAAGTCGGTAGGGGAAGGTGGGGTAAGACGGCCCAGCGGGGCAAGACGGACCACCAGCCCTCCCGGCTGAACCGCTGCTGGTATCTACTGCTTTATGCACTCACTATGTTTGTTTTCCTTCGTAACAATGGCCACCTTGAGCTCATGCTGCTAGGATGCATAGCTTTTGACATAAGCGTAACTTTATATCTCTTTGTGGGTGCTCAAGCACCCCCAATCCTGAGCTCAGCACCCCCTGCCTTCTTAAAGCACCCCCAGCCTCCTCAAAACATTCCCAGCTGACTCAAGGCCCTCAATAATCAGAATGTCCATCTCCTAGTACTGTAATGAGCCCAGTGAATCATGCAAATAATATGCTTACTCAATTCAGTGACTAAGAGAATATACATTGAATAAATCACCACAAATTAAGATGCATGATATTTGTGTTAACATTACATCTGATATTATCAGGGGCC